CCCGTTGCGCTCGCTGGCTCATCCCTCGGGGTTTAAACAGCACGAATTTCTCAGGTTTCTATTAGACTTTGAAATGAGAGCGTTGGCTTACAGGTAATGGTGAGAAGACCTCCAAGTATCTTGCCTGTCATGTCGTTACCCGGCACGGTATCAACAACGGATCCGTAACTAGCGTTTCATAGCTTGTCCTGTAATTGGAAAGAAGAGAATAGCTGATTTATATAATACAGGAATGTGTGAACTACTCGGGGAAGTGCTTAGTTAAATTATCTGAGGTCCTGCCTGACAGCTGGCTGGCCGGACAGCTGGGAGCCCTGCTCCAAGAGCAAGGTTCTCTTGGAATCGTGGCGTCACCCGTTTCTTTCCTAGTGATGACCACAAATAGCTGTTAGGGAAATGTGTCTGTAACCACTTTCTCTACCTTTTGAGGTACTTGAAACGTCCAGTGCTGCTGTTGTTGGGCATGCGGTGATATTTCAGTTGTGTCACATAGGTACACAAGTGTAGACACCTTGCTGGTTTTTGGCTCATTAGAAGCAGCTAGATGTTTTCAAGACAGTTAATTTTTTTGAGTGTTTTATAGCCAAAAATACATGCTTTTTCACGCATTGAAATTAAGGCCAGGCCATTTTTACAGGCCTGTAAACATTGCGTTATTGAGTGTACATATATGTGAAAGATTCCTTTAAAGTTCATGTTTCTGTGTTGCCTTTTCAGGGTGAATTGTTAAACCCCTGCCGCTGCGATGGGTCAGTACGATACACACATCAGCTTTGCCTGTTAAAGTGGATAAGTGAAAGAGGGTCATGGACCTGTGAACTCTGCTGTTACAGATATCATGTAATAGCCATTAAAATGAAAAAGCCTTGCCAGGTAATTTGTTTAGTTGTTTTTTTTTAAGTATGTCTTTCCAGTCATTTTCAAAACCAAAATGATTCTTGCTTTTGTTTCCAAGGAAAATACAGCAGAAGATTCTATATGCTTCACCAGCTAGTACTTGCACCCACTTGAAGTTAGTTTTTAAGACCAGTTGCATGTTAAAATGTGTAGTCATTTGATTCTGTTATGTTCTTTTAGCTTTTTGCTTGCTGTAGAAATGGTCTTCAGAGTCTGTTAAATTTTCTAAGTAGTTAATTCATGCTGAGACATGACAGAATTACTCGGATCTCCCTGATTCGCTTTCTAAACTTTAAATACGCCTTTATTGTTTGTTAAAGACTCAGTCAAAAGTTGGTTTTGTTCAATCTCCAAGCTTGGGGTCCAGAGGGCGAGATGCAAAGAAAACTTATGTTGCCTGTGTATTCATCTTCAGTAAAAAAGTAAAAGGAGGTGACTCTTCAGTCTTGGCACAATCCAGAGTAGCAGAATGCTCTGCAAGTTCTGTCCACCAGTAGCTGTACAGAAGTTGAAATGTGCAGTAACATTTTTCACAGCTCCCTTTTAGCAGCATCACAACATACATCTGAAAGTTAGCGCATTGAAGTAGTACCGTGTTCAGGGAGGTGGAGGGGGAACTCAAAGCTTCAGCAGATTTGTTAGGGAAGCCTTAATACCACTTTGCATATCATAATTCTTTAAAGGCTTAAAATTCCATCCTGGAAATTGTGTTTTAGCATCTGAGGAACCCATTTAGTAAGATAATTGTATCTTTTTTTAGTTTTGATCCTATGAGCTTAGAGATGATGGAGCTCTCAAAGGCCAGAGCACTCGGGTCATTTTTCTGTGCCTGCATTTGATTGGAGTTTTATAGAAAAGACATGCTTGGATGGTAATGGCAGTTGTGTGAACGTGATAAGCATTCCTTGGATACAGGATATCTGGAGTATTTTCTTACAGCTGTTCAGATTAGGCACAAGTACTTTTAGAGACAGTTGACTTCAATTTTTTTCTTTGTAAATCCACAAAGGAGGCTTTTTGATAAATTTTCCTGGACAGAACCTTTATGATGTAAAGGAGTAAAGGGTTTGTAAAACACTTCAGAAAATTAAGGTGGTAGATTCTGTTTCTACACAAACTTTTTCTGATGGTTTGGCATGGGGTTTGATCCCTTTGGCTTTTTTTTTTAACCTTTGAAAAATCTTTATTTCCCGTATATCCATAGCAACCTCATCCTTTTTCTAGCAAGGACTACATTAGCAAGAGTTTGCAGTGATAGTATCTGAAAAGTTGTTAGACAGCAAAGACATGCCACATTTGCCTGCAAAAAGGTATCTGGTACTATTTGAGGTGTCTCTCCCAAGGTAGCCAAAATGTCTATGCAGAAGAGCAGATATGACAGAACTTATGAGAGACTCTGGAACTGCAACTGGAGGTCAAATGGGATATTGAAGGACATCTGAAATGTCATTAGACACCTATCTGTGGACAGCAGAATCGAGCCAAAGTGTGAAGAATAACTATTTGGTTTCTGTGGAAAACATAAGCAAAGAAGAAAGAGTCAGTAGATGACACAGTAGACAGCAATGTTTCGCCAAGGTACAGGAGAAGTAGAAAGAAGTGCAAGAGATGAAACTTAAATGCCATTCTCTTCATGAGCTATGGCACTTGGTTTTTGTTTGGGCTTTATTTGGAGCGGGGGAAGAAACTAGATTCATGCTTCTCCTTCAATAGCTTAAAGTATACTTGATTTATTTGTAACCCAGGCTTTCATTTTTAAAGTAAGTGTTGGCCATTTTTAACAGCTCTCTTGGTTTAAGTTTTTGGACAGGTTCTGAGTAATTTTCTACATAAAAGCCTGTTTTAAGGTAACCTTTTGGTCAGTTTTGGTAAAAAGCTAAGGATGAGACCATTTTAGTATAGAAGTAATTTACAACACCTTCAGTGAGTAGTGAACGTACATAAAAGTTCCCAAGCAAGCAGGACTTCTTGTATCTAATATACAATATTTGACAAGAGTAGTTCACTCTCTCAACAAATAGTAATCTGTCTCAGTCCATGGTCCCAGAATTGTCTCTATCAGTCTTTTACTTATGAGAACTCTGTGGACCGTGTCATTCTTGAGAAAAAAGATGCTCTTAACAAAAATAACTTTTTCTCAGGTGAATGCAGGTTTACACCAGGTCTATTTACAGTCAGGTCTATGCAGATTTACACCACCTCCTCAGGTTTGCTTTTACCTCACGTATTTATGGAATGTAACAAAGCATAGGGAGTTAAGAAGTAGATTTTTCTGTGTTTTCCACCAGAACATTGGAATAGATGTGAATATTCCATTTAATATCTAACATTTTCTATGGTTTCTGTTGCTTCACGGCAGGGAAGGTAATCCCAAAGTGGGGCCTCTTTCGAGGCAGTACATTCAAGGAACAAAATTTACTATGGTAAGTGACTATTACAATAGAATTTTTTCCAGTGTCACTTTGTATATTTCAGCAACTACTACTTAATTCAGTCCTGGAAACCCATAGACTTTTAATAGAGGAATAAACCATAAACCATAAAAAAATAACAAATTAACCCATAAGTTAACAGTGGAAGATGAGAACACAAACAAATTGATGACATTTGATAATGGATATAACAGAGAAATGCAGATTTGCACTTTTTTTTCCAGTATCCTTCTTAAGATCATATCAGAAAAACCTATTTAACCTTGCACTAGTCCATTAATGGAAGCACACATTCATGTTGCTGGACTTGCTCCTTATGGTGGGGTGAAATTTGATCCAATAAGATGCAAAGCTATGTTAATAATGAGAAACCACACGCCCCCAAACTATAATGGGGGAGCTGGAACAAATACTGCTTTGGGCAGGGAGTTTTAGAAGGTTTTTGAAAAGACTTAAAAAGGAGGGAGAAACATCAAATGTCTGACTTGGAAATTAAACCCACTTAGAATTACATTTTAGATTAAGAAAGAGAAAGAAAGCACAAACAGAAATATCTTTTATTAGTTTGTTAATCTTATAATTTGTACAGATTTCCTTCGTAAAGGAAATATATTCCTAAAGGAAATACAAACAGATTGCTTCATTTTTATTATTAAACTGTTAGATTAGTTCACTAGACTTGCAGTTAAGCATGAATGCATATTGAAGGATGTCTGTGCTCTTGTAAGATTCAGAAATAATGTTTGAAAGTGGAACAGAGTCATGCAAAGTTTGATAAAATATACTGTGGTGCTAAAACCTGTTATTTTCTGTAAAAGTGAACAGTAAAGACATTTAGAGAATAGCTTTTTCTAGACTGTCCCTGCAGTCTATCATAAAATAGTACATTAGATATTTAATATATCTTATTCATTAAAATATTGTATTCTGGTACTTCAGGTGACAAAGACTATTCCAAGAGTGATACAGTAGATTGATGCACTAATTTAAAAGCTAATTGCATGGCAATTCAACAACTCTTCTGATATCAGGAAAATCACAAAACAGTTATTTTAAAAAGTGTTTACTTATTATGCCTGATTTCTTGATGTAGACAAAAGAAATAAGGTTGCACTTAGTACTATCTAAGCAAGTATGTAGTTACTAGACATGAAATGTGGCTTGTGAGTTCAGTGGTTTTCAGTGGCCCAAATTATGTTTATTAACATTTGAGCTATTCAGGATAAAAAAATTCAATGCTCAACAGTTTTCATGCATTGCAGTGTCAATTTTTCGTATCATGTTAATGTGAGTAATCCTCACTCATTTGAGTAATCTCACTGGCATCAACTAGATAAGCATGAGCAAGTCTGTAGCAGCCTGCATGTATGTGTATGCATGTTGTATTAGAAAGTGCAAAAGTCACGTTCTTCTGGTGCTTCAATACGGAGGTCAGTGTCCAGAAAAAACTGTGTAGTAAAGGTTTAGTAAAAGTTATTGCTGATGACTATGCTCAGCTGGATGAAAGCATTTAGTTTTTGTGGGCATAATTAAGAAGGGGAAAAGGAGAGGGCTCAAATCCCCAATTACGCATTTTAAACTGCAGAATGTACTAACAACTATCTACTAATGCTGCTGCTGTTACATTGCCTGTAATGAAGATCCAGGAGGATGCATTGTGCTATTCAGTGTGTCAGTGCACCAAAGAACAAAAAGGATTGTCCCAGTCTTGAACAATTTACAGAGTTTGAACAAGAGATAAGGGTCAGATTGGGCTCGGAACACTAACCATTTCTATCATTGAGTATTTGACATCTCAAGTGGGATGTGTTTTGAAAGGCCTCTTGAAAAGAAAATAACGATGCTCCACAGGCACCTTTTGAATGTGAAGGCTCTGTGCAAGGGCTGTTGGAAAATAAAATACTTGGCTGAGACAGGTATCACGAACTGAACGGAGATGAGATTCAATGTCTGAGTAGTCATTAGAAGGTAATTAATACATCAATAAATGCCTGGAAGGACTTGAAAAATCAAATCAAGTCTTTCCAATTTGATGTGATGGGGAAGAGAGGAACCAGCATAGTGGAGAAAGAAAGCCCGTAACATGGTAAAAGTAGTGGAGTAAAGGGAGTTGTATTTGAAGGAGTCTTGGGCTTGCTGAGAAAATAACTTTTGTCATGAGCTTAAAAGATGTGTTACAGTAATTGAGACCTAATATGAAAGTGGTGAGGAGGAATCAATTCTTTATGTATGAATAGTCTTAGATATGCTGCATTGAATGTACATGCAACTTTAAGAAATATTGAGAACAGGAGGATCCAAATAGGTATTTAAATTTAAGATAATTACTGGGTTACAGAACAGATTCATGGATTGGAGGATGAATCCATACTGCTTGAGGAAGGCTGGGACATTAAAATCCTACAGATTTTATGTATATACTTAAATATATGGTAAGATTATACAAAAGCAGGCTAATACTTTAGTTTTGACAGAAGAGAGAAGCCTGAAACAGAAAAATAGACATCAGTCATCAGCATAGATATAGTAGTTGTACTTCTCACA